AGTAAGTGGCGGAGTTTACAGATGAAGGTGTGAACCTTAACCAGGAAGGGGTGGGACAAATTAAGAGGGGCACCCGATTTTAGTCTTGCCTAGGGCAGCACAAAACCAAGATACATTACTACCTACATTCTCTGATCTTTAAAGCAACTAATACTAACAAGTGTCGCAGAACTACCACATTCTGTGGCAATTCTAAAATAGGCATTTTAGATATCTGCTGTCGGCCAGAATAAAAATTTAAAGGATTTACAAAAAGGTTGAACGAACTCCAAATAGCTTGGCCACCCCTAGGGATCTCACTGCAAATAGTGGCTGTGATGCCTTGTGCTGTTGTTGTAGCACTTTGTATGCCATAACACATAGTTCCGGATAGAAAACCATCTTTTGCTGCAATATGTACCCATAAAACAGATTTCCTATGCAGTATTTCTTTCTGCTACTAGATGTCCTTGATCTGATGGTCAACATCATTCCTCTGAGCCCAGGCTGTCCTGGACATGCTCCAGCCTGTGACTTGACAGTAAAAGGAGAAGCAACACTGTGATGAGATCTGTCATTCAGCTTTCCTCTCCTACCAGCATGTTTCTTGTAAGCCAGTTGGCTCTTTGGTCTGCTTCTTACTCTTACACTCCAGCTTTTGTGAACAAGGACTGCAAAAGGCTGATACCAGGTAATATTTGAGTGCTTACATTTAAAAAATACATTTAATCGTGTGTTAATGATTACAGCGCTGTATTCATTTATGTTTCTTATCTGCCTGGAGTTCAGCTTTAAGTAACTCTAGCAGTATTAAAGTTTGTCCCAAGCCCTGTCATGGTCACTTTTTCTGGACACCTTGGCCTGAATTCAAATGGAGAAAAAAAAAAAAAAAAACTCATTACATGTCTGTGAAGGTTTTCATTTATCCAGGTCATGATATATCTAGAAGTATATCCTAGCTGTTAATCCCCCAATCCACATGGCTGAAGGTGTCACCATCTATACCAAACTGAAACTACCATCCTTGAATTAGGGGTGGGGGACCTTCAACACCATTTGTCTTCCAACAATCCACTGCTGTTTTGACATTAGAGGAGTGCAGTGCAACACACACACACACACACACACACACACACACACACACACACACACACACACACACACACACACACACACACACACACACACACACACACACACACACACACACACACACACACAATTTGGATTAGCTCAGCCTGAAAAGAGCTTTCCTGGAGCATTTCCCTGGTAGTTCAACTGAAGCAAGCAATCAGCTAAGGGTGGCAAGGCACTGTCAAATGATCTCCAGGATAAAGTTGTGGACAGGCACAAGTCAGGAGATGGATACAAAAAAAATTCAAAGTTACAACACAGCCCCACAGGGCACTGGAGCACTTGTCAGGATAGAAGGAAAAATGGACGGGGCAAAATACCATCAAATTCTTGAGGAATATCTGCTACCCTCTGCCAGAAAGTTGTCAATGGGAAGAAGGTTACCTTCCAACATGACAATGACCCAAAGCACACAGCAAAAAATAACCACACAGTGGTTGAAGGAGAAAAAAAAGAGTGGAAAACAAAAATTGCAAAGTCTACATGTGCAAAGTTAGTAGAGACTGTACTTAAAGCAAAAGGTGGTTCAACAAAATACTGACACAAGGGGGGATCCTTCTTCCAACTCAGTGATTCTGTTTTTGATGTGTTGGTTGTTAGATCTTTCACTTGGATGTTATAAGTGGCACTAAGTAAATACAGCTGGATAAAAATGAACCTAAATTCAGCAGCAGAAAATTTTAGTTTAGCGGTGGGGTGAATGACAGCTCCTTCTCGGACAAAAAAAAAAAAAAAAAAAAAAAAAGACGGTAATTGCACTTAAATACTGGCAATGACATTTAGCTGGGGCAAGTGAGAGAGCCAGTCTGTATACACTGCTCCTCTCTTGACACCTCCTTGCACACACTGCCCCCCACACACACCCTGCCCCCTACAAAGAGGACCTATCACTTATATGCTATCACATAGGTGACTATTGGTCCCCTATGTGATAGCAATAAAGTCATAATTTTAAAAAAATAAAAAAATAAAACACATTAAAAGTAAGACGTTTCGGTTTTCGGCCAAGTACATTCTGAATTTTCTGCACCAGAATTTTCATTTCGGTGCACTATTACACACACACACATATGCGTATGTATATACAATATAAAGTGCAGCGCTAAAATTATAAATGTGACATAAAAAATAAAAAATATAAATATAAAAATAAGGTCCCAATGAAGAAAGTCCCAATAAAGGTGACCTCAGGTAACAGTGCACACTGACCAGAGGTGCACACAAAATAGTGCAATGTGGCAAAGATGGAGTTCAGGACGTAGTCATCAACATGGAAAGGGTAGATGTATTCCCTTGATCAGAGAAGATCCACACGGTGGAGATAAAAAACAGAACAGAATAGATCCACTAGACAGCAAGGAAGGAATCACAGCTCCACCAAAGAAAGCCACCACTCCTCCACTGCACATCAACGATATCGTCCTGTCAGATGTAGTGGCCGCCGGAGCTCCACAATGCTCCGACGGCGTGACGTCAAGGCGTGCGCAGGCTCCTCCTTACGCGTTACATGCCAAGCACATCTTCAGAGAAAGAACCGGATCTTCTCTGATCAAGGGAATACATCTACCCTTTCCATGTTGATGACTACGTCCTGAACTCCATCTTTGCCACATTGCACTATTTTGTGTGCACCTCTGGTCAGTGTGCACTGTTACCGGAGGTCACCTTTATTGGGACTTTCTTCATTGGGACCTTATTTTTATATTTATATTTTTATATTTTATGTCACATTTATAATTTTAGCGCTGCACTTTATATTGTATATTCATGTGAGGATTTTTTGGTTGTCCTGTGTGTTTCAGCTGCTTGTCCATCTAAAGCGCTCACTTTTTTGCTCTCTGTTTCATATGCGTATGTATGTATGTACTCAAAAAAATTAAAGGAACACTTTGAAAACACATCAGATTTCAATGGGGAAAAAATATCATGCTGGATATCTATACTGATATGGACTGGGTATTGTGTTGTAAGGATGCCCCATCGTTTGATGGAAATGAAAATCATCAACCTACAGAGGACCGAATTCAAAGACACCCCGAAAATCAAAGCGAAAAAAATGATGCAACAGGCTAGTCCATTTTGCTGAAATTTCATTGCAGCAATTCAAAATGGTACTCAGTAGTGTGCATGTCCCCCAAAAGCTTGTATGCATGCCTGACAACGTCCAGGCATTCTCCTACCGAGATGACGGATGGTGTCCTGGGGTATTTCCTTCAAGTCTCGGACAGTCTGAGGTGCAACCTGGCGGCGTCGGATGGACCTAACCATGATATCCCAGGTGTTCTATTGGATCTAGGTCATGCGAATGTGGGGGCCATTGAATGGTATCAATTCCTTCATCTTCCAGGAACTGCCAACATAGTCTTGCCACATAAGGCCGGGCACTGTCGTGCACCAGGAGGAACCCTCTCTCCTAGAGTAACTGCTTGTCTCCTGGAATCTCCTCCATGCTCTTGAGACTGTGCTGGGAGACACAGCAAACCTTCTGGCAATGACACGTATTGATGTGCCATCCTGGAGGAGTTGGACTGCCTGTGCAACCTCTGTAGGGTCCAGGTATCGCCTCATCCTACCAGTAGTGACACTGATCCTAGCCAAATGCAAAACTAGTAAAAAACAGAAGAGTAGGGAAAAAATGTCACCTGTAAAACCATTCCTGTTTTGAGGGTCATCTCATTGTTGCCCATCTAGTGCACCTGTTAATTTCATTAATACCAAAGCAGCTGAAACTAACAACCCCCTCTGCTACTTAACTGACCAGATTAATATCCCAGGAGATTAATGACTTGATGCTATACTCTGATTAAAAAATGTTCCTTTAATTTTTTTCGAGCAGTGTATATACATGCACATACACACACACACACACACACACACACTACAAAGGAGTTTCTAAAATGAGAGTGGTTTTGTTTTATAAAAGTTTTAAAACCATGTAACGGAGAAAAACTATAAACAAGCACTATATAACACTATATAGGAAGAGGTGTTTCACACACTGGATATATTGATCACTATTGAATCAGAGGGAACTTATGTCTATTCAAAAGAACAGCTTGGCATTCTTTTCCATGTGAGATTTACAATTAAAGTGGAACTGCTCAGCATCTAAGCACCACAAACCAAAAATGTGATTTAATACACTGTTAGTATTCAAAGCAAACTCCCCCGTCCATTGATGTCTCCATGCTTTATTTTGCTGAGAAATTATTTTAAAAAACACCCCCTGGCATTTCTGGCAGTGGCCATCTTGAGTAAGGGCAGATTTATGTAGCATTTACCTCCTGGAATCCATCTGCCCTTAGCTCAGTCATTGGCTGAGTTGAGAACCCTCCCCTCCTGAAGACTCCTGGGATGTGTGACATCATTTTGCCTAGGCATGGAAACCAGGAAGTAAAAAAAAAAAAAAAAAAAAAAAAAGTTTAACACAAGTCAATATAATATGAAAATAATAAAATAAAAATTGTGTGCTGCCCAATAATTAAACAATGATAACTTGATTAAACAAACAAAAATATTGAGCTACTGCAAACACATCTAGTGTGTGCTCTTCACAAACAATAAATGCAAAACCAGTGTAAAGTGTTGTGCTGCTCAAACTACATCCACTCTATGGAACTAACTATATATGTTTATGGTTTTGTTTTCACTAGAGTGGATGTAGTTTGAGCAGCACAACATTTTACACTGGTTTTGCAAGTAAATATGATATACTTTATTTTCCATTTACTAATGCTAGCAGCATAAAGATTAAAAATAGTCAATGTTGATTGAGAGAGTGAAGTTCCACTTTAATTTCTCTAGGCAGCTGGCCCAGAAAGAGTTATTAAGCCCAAGGCTAGATTACATGCATTTTTTCCTTTTACCTTAAGTATTTAAAAACTCACCTTTCATATTCATAGGGGTCAGGAAGCAATGGACTAGTGGAAATACAGGATGAAGTTGATTTATCAAAAGAATAAACTTTACCTTGAAGACAAAAAAAAACAAACAAAAAACTGAGAATGATAAACTGAATTATAAACTGAATCTGAATTCTGCAACAATCCCTGACAAAGTCACGTAACTAACACAACGTGCTGGAAAAAGCTGATGACATCACGTTGCTAACCAGAAGTGAGCAGACTGCTATTTTGAGTGAGACTTTTCCTATACTGATGAATGTATAACTATGGTGCACTTTTTAAGGTGAGTTTTTTATACTTTTTTTAAATTATAGTTATATGTAAATCACTATATTTCCCCTTTTTTGAGCTTTTAAAGTTTAGTAACTGAAGGATTGCAGAGGATGGAGGTAGTTTGAAGGACATCTGGACAGCACAGAGGGAAACACTCCTAGCACAACTCCCTGTTTAAAGGGAAAGCCCAGCCGTGATGCTCCCCTACTCTTTCCACTCTAACTTTGGTTCTCCTTTTCACACGCTCTTCATTACTTTAACTGTATACAGCACTGTTTCTGTTAAAGTGCTCTATATGGGCTGAGAAAAGAGCTAGAGAATGTCTTCAGTCACACTTGGTTCAGCTGAACAGCTTACAATCAGAGCTGCCGATGTTCTAGTAGTTCTTAAAAAAAAAAAAAAAAAAAAAAAAAAAAAAAAAAAAGAGTTCGTGTGCCACTTGACCATGGAAGATTTACACACCTCTTATCCTCTCTCCCCATGTACATCTACGCATGTCTGTTATTTGCACTGATTTTTTTCCTATTGCTATATGCCAGTTTTTTTTTTTTGCCTTAATAGAGCATTCTTCATACTGTTTTGTTCAAAACTTCAATAAACTTATTGAAATATAAAGGGAAAGCGCATGAGATCTAATCTGGATTTGGTTAAAGTATATGATGAGAGTATTGCAGTGCCAATGAAGGGTTGTGTACACCACATGGTTAAAGAATGCTTCAGTGATTTATCCATATGGTGACAGTAAGCATAAGGGCACTGCTGGAAGCAAAGAATCATGGATATTTTACAATAGGAGAACGTTCAATAAAAATCATGGACATTTTGGATATTTTATTAATAAATGGAATCATGTTTGTTTCACAATATAACTTAATTTTATTTAAAAAACATTTGTATAGTACTGCTCGGCACAGTTTTGATATATTAATTAGCTGACACATATGGGAACACAGAGTGCGGGCAGCAGTACTGGGGCATATTTTGAAGTTTGATAACAGTTTCTCACACATGTATTTTTGTTTTTTTTTGTAAAACGTTCAGTTTGAGCTACTTTCTCTCATACTGCAAGTGATTGTGCTTAGGTTATATTGTATTTTTTATATATAGTGTACATGTTTTCCATGTACACTCTGATGCCAATGACTAAATAGTCAATGGTCCCCGATATTCAAAACACACTCAGCTTTTTGATGTGCAGTTTAAAAATGGAACATCCAAGGGGCATGGTATATATATTCTGACACCCTCTCTGTACATAGTTACATTGGTGTTCTGCAACACCACAATGGTTTGGGGTTAATTTTATTTGCATTTAAGTTCACAACTTTCTAAACTGATATGTTAAATAATTTTTCTATTTATATCAAATATTTTACAAACACAAAACTACAACTAAGACCTTACTCATGTGGGCTTCATGGTTCACCTTTTGGGTGAAGTTCCCCTTGTTTGCATCCCCCCCCCTCTCCACATTTGGAGAAGGAACCTGGTTTAGACAGGTACCCAACTACCGCTTCCAGTCAGATCACCACAGCGACGTTTACAACCTCCTCTCCCCCCCCTTCCCCTGCAGCCCTCTGGGACACATCACAGGTCCCAGAAAATTGTGGGACCATTTACAAAGCGCAGGACGGTTTGCACATGTGCAGTAGGAAACAGGCAGTGAAGCCTTTCCCTTACCTAAGATGCCGTCTCCTGGTCCAGAAGTCGACTGATGAATCAGCTCGGGTGAGCACATCACTGGATCCCTGGACAGGTAAGTGTCCTTAAATTAAAAGTCAGCAGCTACAGAATTTGTAGCTGCTGACCTTTTTTTTTTGGGGGGGGGGGGGGGGGGTGGCTGTAGCTCCTCTTAACTTATGCTTTTAAAGCACCTATCAGCTCCAGTTTGGACATGTTAAAACAGGCTTCAGCAGGCATTCAAAGGTTACTTTAAGTGAGACCAAAAATGTGATTAAAAAAAGCATATCCTTCAATACTGTGTAGTTGCCTCTCTCCAAAGCACTTAAGTGTCATTTCTCTGTGCTGCCTGGTTGCTCTATTATATCAGCATGAGTCACTTCTGGCAGCTTGTCCCAGTTTTAAAAAGGGACACAACCTATCCAGACATTTTCGTATTGCCATAATAAAGATCCCTCCATGGTAAGGGTTATAGGTATTGATAAACTTATTCCCCATTGGTGGGGTAGCAATGTCATCAGAGAGATCTCCCAGCTAGAAACTCATTGAGTTGAGAGCCTATGCTCCAATGGGACTAAATATGGAGTGGGATCTCAGCTGTTTCATTAATAGCTGAGTCACTTGTGATGCCTGTTAATCATCCTCATAATGAAGAAATGTGCCTCATGATTGCTTTGTTTTTTATTATAGTGTGTATCATTTTATGTATATGAGATTCTATTAACATGCTGTTTCCGTAATGGTTAGAGTTAGAGGGCGGCGTGATCTTTTTGGCCACTAGATGGAGCTGGCTGGATTAATATACCGTATTTGCCGGCGTATAAGACGACTGGGCGTATAAGACGACCCCCCTACTTTTCCTGCTAAAATTTAGTGTTTGAGCTATACTCGCCGTATAAGACTACCTCTCTTCCAATGCACACCAGTGGCAGGAATAGTGCCCCATCATTGGTATCAGTGGCAGGAATAGTGCCCCATCATTGGTATTAGTGGGAGGAATAGTGCCCCATCATTGGTATCAGTGGGGGGAATAGTGCCCCATCATTGGTGTCAGTGGGAGGAATGGTGTCCCATCATTGGTGTCAGTGGGGGGTGGAATAGTGCCCCATCGTTGGTGTCAGTGGGGGGGGGGGAATAGTGCCCCATCGTTGATGTCAGTGGGGGGGAGGAATAGTGCCCCATCGTTGGTGTCAGTGGGGGGGAGGAATAGTGCCCCATCGTTGGTGTCAGTGGGGGGGAGGAATAGTGCCCCATCGTTGGTGTCAGTGGGGGGGAGGAATAGTGCCCCATCGTTGGTGTCAGTGGGGGGGAGGAATAGTGCCCCATCGTTGGTGTCAGTGGGGGGGAGGAATAGTGCCCCATCGTTGGTGTCAGTGGGGGGGAGGAATAGTGCCCCATCGTTGGTGTCAGTGGGAGGAATAGTGCCCATCGTTGGTGTCAGTGGGAGGAATAGTGCCCCATCGTTGGTGTCAGTGGGAGGAATAGTGCCCCATCGTTGGTGTCAGTGGGAGGAATAGTGCCCCATCGTTGGTATCAGTGGGAGGAATAGTGCTCCATCATTGGTATCAGTGACACCAATGATGGGGCACTATTCCTCCCACTGACACTTGCTGACCCTGTTCTCGTATGGTGCTGCTGCAGCCAGCATATGTGGTTGCAGCAGCACCTCTACACTGACCACTTACCTGCTGGTCCTGCACTCGATTTTCGCGGGGGCCGCTCGGCTCCACCCCCTCGCCGGTGATTGGCCGCCTGTGTGCCTTTCCTGAGCTACAGTTCTGGCGGCCAATCACTGGTGAGGAGGCGGAGCCGAGCAGCCGCACGAACATCCAGTGGCCGAACTGAAGGCGCAGCCGCGCTTCCTGGACCGGATCGTCGTGGGACCGGAACCAGGTAAGAAACAGCCGCTGCCCACCCCTGTACTTCGTGTCCCTTCCATTGGGGGGGAAGGGGGGGGCGGCGGCAACGCGCCGCCCCCCTAAAAAGTGTCAGTATGCCGTATACCGGCGTATAAGACGACCCCGACTTTTGAGAAGATTTTCAAGGGGTAAAAAGTCGTCTTATACGCCGGCAAATACGGTACATTTATTTGAACAAATTTTTTTTTAATGGCGCTGTGAATTCAAAATCTGTAGGATCCCACTATTTTTTTGTTATGAATTGGGCAAACGGGTGGGATTCCTTAATGTGCTCTGTGATTAGATGGAGTATTTTAGTTCATCATCACCCAATAATACTGCGGTTTACATTAAATATAGAAGCGAGGTCACGAATGGCTTCCAGTCCCTAAAGCCGAGGGCTGCCAAGAAACACGCTGGGCAGAGCCCATTCATGACGTCATGAAATGCACCAGTGGTCAGGGGCAATGCTGTTTTATTCTGTATTGACATCTAAGTCTGTGAATGTCATCATCTCTGAATGATGCAAACATTGCCTTGTTGGCCTGAGTCAACTCTAGGAGTGCTGAGGAGAGTTACAAACTGAGGACGTTTGCTGTGAATCCGAAAAAAAAAAAAAAAAAAAGTATATAGGCTGCTTTAACCTCATATAATCTGCAGGTTAATTAGAAGGTGTGTGCCAAGGCAAGTGAAGGTTCACAGTATTGTCCTAGTTTGTGATGGACATTTTTGACTTGTTAAACACATGTACTGTGACGCACATCAGCACTTTGTTTAGGATTTGTTACTTACATGCATAATGGATTTTTATTGATGGGTTTATGTATTGTGATGCTTGAGCACTTTGATCAGTTATATGCACAATAGCACTTTGTATTTCAACAAATCAGCTACAGTATAAGTACAATAGCGCTCTGTATTACAATAGTTGGCACATATGAATATTTTGGATGCACAAAAGCACTGTGTAATTTGAAATTTTTATTCATATATGAGTTATGATTTTGGCACTTAAGTGCGTTGCAATCATCAATTAAAGAGACAGCGCACTCTCTTTGCACAGCTTTTCCTGACACCAATAGTCAAAATGGTGACAAGGGATGGAGCTATAGAACACTATGACAAGCTGTGCTTGTTCTCCATATTGACTAGACTCCATAAGACTACAGACCCCCGCCCCATGCTGCTAGAGCTAAGAAGAAATCCATGATCTACATAAGTTGTGGCTGTGTATCCACAGTTTTTTCTTATGTAGGAGAAGGTGTTTCATATCTGTGTATCACTTAATGCTAGTCCCTTCACTGGGTATATGTAAGGTGTTGAGCTGGGAATTTTTCTTTGTTGTTGTTTGACATGTGTTGCCCTTCCATGTGCTCCTTGCTGCAAAGGCCAGTTATAGATTGGGCCACCTCTACCTGCCTACTTCCTTGTGATTTGACATAGTGGGAGTTTTTCAGCAGATCCCGGCCAATGATTCATGGCCAGACCCTGCTGATCGGCTGTATGGAATCACAGCTCAGTGCTCCGTGTTGACAAACCACACAGGCTTTATACAAAGAGAACGATTGCTTTGTTCCTTTTCCCTGCAGAGCAGAAACAAATCGATCTGTTACCTGCCTGAAGGACTGACTGGGGGGAATATTTGCTTAACAAGCTGTAAGCCTCTTAGTTTTGTGGCCACCCTGTCTATTCTCTATGACTGTCCCTTTTTTTCTGAGAGCTCTCAGCTTTGATTGTTATTCAATCTTCAATCGGTCTAATATAAAGATAGGATAATTACTTATATAGTATGTGGTTTGTGAGATATCCAATGGATCTGAAGACATGACCCTTCACAAATTTTTTACAAATTTTTTAATGGGTTTATTTACATGTTTAGTGTGTCTTGATTTGCAATTAATAAAAGATATTAATAAATCAATGATACCTGTCGGTACCAATTTTCTCATTCTTGATACACGAATCATAATTGGGTTGAGGTGTTGAGCCAAATCCAATTTTATATGTAAGAATTTTTTGGCACTATCACAGTGCCTCTATAAATCGCTGATCGTGCCATTACTAGTATTAAAAAAAAAACAAAAAAAAAAACATAAAAACTAAATTTATACTATAATTTGTAGGTGCTTTTTTTAATAATATATATTTCATCTAGTCAACATAATTACAAAAAATGCTATCCAGTTACGTTAAGTAAACCGTTACACTTTATCTGACAATAGAAATTTTTAGCTGACCCTTATTCACAATTTCAAGATTTCAAGTAAATAGTTTGCAGATAGAATATTAGGTAAACACATACCATTCTGGACAATTTCAAAATGTGGCCATCCTTCTTCAACAGATGCAACAGAAGCCAGCTTTCCTTCCAGCATTTCTCCATCAATGAATTTCCCATACAGGGCTGTATGTCCATCAGGATAGACATAGGCAATCTTATTCCCAGACATTTCCCCATCTTCATTCACCTCTCCCACAAGGCTGCCTCCATCCTGTAAGGGAATAAACCCAACACCTGCTTTTATCAAAGTAGTTCAGAAAAAAAGCAGCATAATATATCTTTGGGTGATAAGACTGCTTGCTGGCCAATAAAGAAAATTTGTATGAATACTTTTTTAATTATAAGGAGCACGCCCAAAAGGGGCCTGCCAGACTGTCTGGGGGAATTTTGCTCAAACTCTTCATGGGCTGTAATGTACAAACTTGGAGCAACCAATAGATAGCAGCACTGATCCTTTGGAATTCAAGGACTTGTCCAGTTGTTGTCCTAATGTTAAAGTTTATCCAAAGCCATAACTTTTTCATGTTCCATAGAGTAGGGAATGGCAAAGGAAACTGAACTGGGTTTTAGGGTGTGTCTCTCTCATTTCTCTTCATTTTCTAACCTGTACACAAAAAACAGGAAGTGAGAGCAAGTATTCTTAACCCTTTTGCGCTGAGAGTATGCAAATACGCGCCCTCTTGGTGGGTGGGCCTTGACACAGAGGCAATATAATTGCGCACCCAAATGTAATCAAATCTGAGCCAAGAACATGCTCCAGGCACAGTTACTGGCACCTGGCGGAAAGCTCCAAATCGATACGTGCGATTGGCAGCTTTCCAATCAGCCAATCACAGCGGTCACGTTATCATAAACCCCACCCCTGCCTCCCAGCATAAGAACCCCTTAAAGGGCAGGGAGGTGTGTCACAGGAACAAGTGTCCCTATTGAAAGGATTTGCCCTCAATTCATTTTCGGTGGTCAACTTGCAATTTTGGATTTTCCCTCACTTTCTGTCCCAGTAACAATGGCCACAATGACAAACAGAAAGTGCACAGGGAAACAGCACTGAAAACATAATAAACCAAAATGAAGCAGTGCTTCCATATATTAAAGCTCGTCAAACACAAGATAAACATTGATGAAACGTAATAAATAAAAAGACAACAAAATCATAAATAATGTAATGTAAATATATGTATAGCGTCCATTAATCTGAACTGGTGCCATGTGTGCAACTTCTTCTTAACACTCCCAAATAGCAATCACCACATGTGCCACTACCTAATGGAATCATGCTGAACAACTATTATGACCCCCTGTAATGCCTATGAAATGTTTTGGCATTGGACCCTTTGTTTTTTGGGGAATTTTTGCAATAAAGCATCATTGCCCATATGCCAGAAGCACGAGAAATGACATTGATTGCTAAAGGAACAGAGTCACAAGACATTACACTGCCTAAAGCAGATAAGAAGTGTTTGTGAGATTGAATTTGTTTGTGACATTTAGAAATGTTACATTAGACTGCTTAAATTAGATAAGAACATGTTTTTGCATTTAAAAATGTTTGTTTGAGAAGTTAGAAACCCTTAAGAGTAGATAAGAAGTTGTTTGTGTAGAGATGTTTCATTAGGATTGGGGGTACCAGATAAGAAGTTGTTTGTCCAGTAAAGTGACTGGGTGTAACTCTTACCTCAGGGGACTTTTCTGCTAACTCCTCCTGAGGTGGGCATTGCGTCTGCCCATTTTGGTAATGACGGGTGCAAGGTGGTTCTCTCGTTCTGGGAGGACGTAATAAGAAGTCCTTCCATTCTAATCGCGCATGCGTGGCTCCGGGAGCACACAGCGCGGCGATCGGTGGGGCGCTGTGCCCCTCGGACACAGCGGATCACTGATCAATGGAAACAGCCGAAGATGTCTGCTCGGTCATGTGATCAGCTGTGTCCAATCACAGCTGATCACATGTAAACAGGGAAAATGCCGGTTTTCGGCATTTCTCTCCTCACGAGCTGTCACGCTGACAGCTCGAGAGGAGAGCTGGTAATCGGCTTTACTAAGAGGGGACACGTACACTGATCATCAGGGCACCGACTATCAGTGTGCCCTGATGATCTGTGTAGCCCCAGCAGTGCCACCTGTCAGTGTCCATCAGTGCCACATCAATGCCTACCAGTGCACATCAATGCCACATATCAGTGCCCAACTGAGCTGCCTTTCAATATTACCTATCAGTGCCACCTATCAATACCAGTCAGTGCTGCCAATCAGATCCAGTCAGTGCCGCCTATCAGTGCCATATATTATATATTGATGCCTTTCAGTGCCCATCAGTGATGCCTGTCAATGCCCATCAGTGCCACCTACCAGTGCCTCCTCATCAGTGCCCATCGCTGCCACCTATCAGGGTCCATCAGTGCCCATCACTGCAGACTCATTAGCGCACATCAGTGAAGGAAAAAAAAAAAATCACTTCTTTACAAAATTTTATAACAAAAACTAAGAAAAAACATTTTTTTTTTTCAAAATTTTCAGTGGTTTTTGGTTTGTTTAGCAAAAAATATAAAAAACACAGGAGGTGATTAAATACCACCAAAAGAAAGCGGTCTCAAAAAAATGAGAAAAATTTCATATGGGTACAGTTGTTGCATGGCCACCCAATTGTCATTCAAAGTGTGACAGCGCTGAAAGCTGAAAATTGGCCTGGGCAGGAAGGGGGTATAAGTGCTCAGTAGGCAAGTGGTTAAAGCAAAGCCTGGACACGGTAGAGGCAGAAGCCCTCACATGTGAAAGGGGACGCTCTGACGCTAGGACTCCTGCCAAGGCTACATGGGCTCATCGGTCAATCGTGCTTCAAGGCTTCTCCACGATTCCCTGTGGATTATGGTTTTGATGGGGTCTCTTCCTTCCCATAGCTTCGGTAATGTATTAATTCTATGCTGCGACGCTGACAAAAGATGTGCTTATTTCATGCTGTAATGCTCACATTACTATTGGTGTGTGTTATTATGCAGATTGTGATGACTGTGTGTTGTGTGACAAAAAAGGTGGAGGTTTTCACAATGCAAGAATACTGCAGTTGGATTCGGTTATATCTTAGGGTGCTGAGTGGATGCTGTGCCAGGGCAGCTGTACACTTGGTAGCGGGTCTCTCACATGCTTAGAATAATGGCGTAAGTGCTGGTTAATTGTACCTGCGTGGTGTTTGACTTGCTCTTGGTTAATTTTTCCTGTGTGGTGTTCATGACTTGCTCTTGGTGTTTTTATCCAGCCTTGCATTACACCCCCAAATCATAGGAACGTCATAATGTGCATGTAGTGTAGGAAGGACTCCAGGAAACTTCAAAGTAACTCCCAAATGGTAGGACCGGTTCCTCACACCAGGAAACTAAATCATCTGTCATTACTCAAAGTTTGGAGGAGCACCCAAAAAGAGAAAATTGCTTCTCCGAGTAATAACTATTTTTTTGTAATCACAAACATCTTATTATGGCTGCTTGGTGACCACCGGATAAACGCTCATATGGCAGAATCTCAGCAATCCTCACCAACCAAACTAACATGGAGTGCCAGCTAGGCTCCTCAGCTTGCCACATGTAAGTGTAAGTGATGAAGTCACCAGTCGAAGATTTTCAGAGTAATGCTTTCATCATGAACTCAGATTAAATGGACACCATACATAAATGTATAATATAAATTTGTTGTATTTATGGGTTTTGTGAATGTACAATTTAGATTTGATGGACATTACATATATGAGTGCTTTATTTAGATTTATATATTGATGTAATAATTTTTGGAGTAGCTGCTTTGTAGATTTTTTTTTTATCTACACTATTCTGGTGCAGTGTCATAAAAACATGACCGTTCTTAAAGTGGAACTTCACTCTCTCAATCAACATTGACTATTCTGAATCCGTATGCTGCATTAGTAAATAGATAGGAAAGTATATTGTATTTAAACTGTTTTTTTTACATTTCTTTAGTTACTTTCTGGTTTTCAAGCCTGGACAAATGATGTCAAACATCCCAGGAATCTTTAGGAGAGGAGGGTTTTCTCAGCTAAAACACACCCTCCAGCAAGCATGCCTTAGCTTGAGGCAGATGAATTCTGCAAGTAAATGCTACATGAACCATCTGCCCTTAGTCAAGATGGCCACGGCCAGAAATGCTCGGGGGGTGTTTTTCTAAGTGATTTCTCGACAAAAAGTATGGAGACATGGATGGATGGGTGAGTTTGCTTTGGATAATACAAATGAACTAAATAGCGCTTTTGGTTTGTGGTGCTCAGATACAATGCAGTTCTGCTTTAACCATTACAACTTTATCAGAAAGAAAAAAAAAAAGTTTGGATTTAGATACATCTTTTATAGTAGATTTCACTTGAAACATGGTACCTCAGTCAAAAATGGTACCTCAGTGAAATGCAAACGTCAACAAATAAAACCCACTACCAAATTGGTATCCTTGTTTATTAAGCAGGTAGTAATTTATTGAACAAAATTTGCTTTTTTAAGAAAACGATTTCAATAGCACACATCCAAAGTCTAGATGAACGATATGTTTAGGTATGATGTTTTTCTGCATAGTTACATTGATCCACTTTAGACCTGACCGTTCCCTGCGTAAGCTGATAGCAGCAGTCTTCTGGGTTTAGTGCCAAGCGGTTGCAATTTTGTATATTAATCACAGGGGTTGTCACTTGTTTTGCACAGCCACCATTCAGAGAAAGCCTAGTATTTTTTTTTTTCAATGACCAGGCGTTCTCTGACTGGACGAGGTGGAGGTCTTGCCATCTTGTCCAATAGGAGGATGCCTTGTATTCATTGAAAAAAAAAAAAAATACTACAATGCAGCAGAGCAGCCTCTTGGAGCTAAACCTGGAAGGCTGGTGCTAACACTGTGGTAGCGGCATGTACTGCAGTGATTTGCAGCTTACACAGGCGTTGGTCTGGCATGACATATGTATACTTACATTGGTCCAGCTTGGACCAAGAAAAAAATAAATCATATCTAAACTTCAGCTTTAACATATTAATCACAGTTACCCATTATTGTTCAAGTAACAGGATGCAAACATTTCATTGATCTCAATGCAATACAGACCATTGTTGCTCCTTACAAAGCTTGTCTTAAAGAGTCTGCTGGGTGTTCATATTCTCTATGAGGTAAAGGTTAAAAGTAATACGTATATATTATCTTACTGGGTAGTAAATCCAGCAGATGCCATGTCGAATGTTGTCTTTATATTGACCTTTGAATATCAACCTTCCATCCGTATCAAACTCCTGTGCTGGTCCATTCAGCTCCCCATCAGCATATGTGCCATGTAGGACACCTCCATCCTCATATGTATACACTCCTTGTCCTTGTAAAGCATCGTCAACATAAAAACCCTCCAAAGTACTGAAAAAGATAACATAACAATTACACAACTGAAGCCAAAACACTGTGCATAATATTCAAGTTATATTACACACAAACACACACCTATTAAAATTATTTTCATTTACCTGCTTAGAGTAGAATTTCAGTTTTTATCACTTTGAATAGTTTTTTTTTTGGACCAAGCTGGCCCAAACAAACAATTTCTATTACATAATGATGTGGCCACTGTGTGTGCTGTAACATACTGTTGTAGGATTAGTTGCATACAGTAAGGTCCCTTTCCTTGCACACGGGCATCATAATGTATGGATGTTTAGAGACTGCTGTAAACCGTAGGTTAAAAAAAAGTCAGTTCAGCCATGTTTGCATACCGCATTTATGAGCGTTTAGAAGCGTTTTTAAAAGATAACCTCAGGAGACCTTCCCAAATGCCCAGAATGCACTGAAAAACAGTAAAAAATTAACCATTTCAGACATTTTGAGAGAAATAGAGAGAGCAGAAGCAGAGGGAGCAGTATGTGTTGAGATTACCTGTCTTTTCTGGTTGTATTCACTATAGATCCCATCATCAGCATAATGCAGCACATTCTACCATTTTTTTCCTTCACGCAAACCCTGGAACTGACTGCGCTGGTGTACTAGGTGCATTTGAGTACCCGGAAAACGCTTTGCATGCATTTCTGATGATGAAAAAAGGCTCTGCACAGCATCTGGAAATGGAACAGTTAAAAAAATGCTTCTAATCGCAGTTAACCACGTTTACACACGTTTGAAATGCCAGTAAAATCTACTCCTGAACGCAAGTTTGGTGCATTAAAAAAACACGACTGTAAACTCAACTGCCTGTAAACGTCTATGTGTACATGGACACATAGGAAAACATTAGCGAGAGTTCAGGGGCTGCTGAAAAAAATGCAGAAAAGCTCCTGAACGCGAGTTTATCAGCTGCAGGGTATATGAGCCCTTACTCAGAAACCTTTCAAGCCTGTGTGCAAGGGATGCAAAAACTGTATGTAAAGACCTGATTAATGTGGAGTACAGGTGAGTAAAAGGTATGAAAGCGTATAGATGAGTAAAATTTTTCTTCATTGCCAGTATTGTGGCCCCTTGCACATAGACGTCACAGGTTCCTGAGTAAACATCAGTAAATTATGACGCGCGTGTGCTGCAATCAAATATATCATTTTCTATTTGTATTTTAGTGCTCTGTAGTCAAAAGCTGTATTACTGATATTTACTCTGTGTGCAATATCCCATAGACAACAATGCATCTCATTTCAGATCAGTCAAAAACTCATTTTTTTTCCCCCTGCACAACAGGCCTACGTGGCGCTGAGTTCCAGCAGCAGTAGAGCATTTTCCTATCTGCAGTCAGAATTGAAAAGAGTCAGGCTGAAACCTTCTTAGCTATTCTGAAGCCTTGTACTGCTTCTGATTGGATGAGGTGGAAATAGTGACCTCATCTGCCCACCTCTCCCAGTCATAAGAAATCTTGTATTCATTGCAAGGGCCTACCTAAACAACAGTTCAATTTATATCCAATGAGACAGGCTCTCACACAGTTGTTGGTAAATCTGAAGCAGACTGCACTGTATGGGACTACCTTAAAAAGTATTTTGCTTCATGATAGATTGCTTCTCAAAACCACAGATGAAGTGTACATGGTAGTGCCTAGCTACATGCGAAGAATCTTCTCTACACAAATACTAGCGACACCAAATACTTAGTACTTTAGCCTTTGGTTACCATCCCACTGCTGGAACACAGTGCTGTATACACTATGTACTAAGGCTACATAAGTTCATGCAGCACTGAGAGCAGCCGCATCTCTAAAAAAAGTAAATAGTTTGTCTGGACCAGCTTGGCCCAAACAAACTAAACTTCACAAAAACCTGGAGATTTTTAATTTCCCTGCAACTTCCTTACACAGCTCTCATGAGGAGAATCATCTTATACCACACAACCTATTTGACTGGTGTTTTGGCAGTAAAGCAGAGGGCCTAACTAGCCTGGGCTTTCTTGCAACTCCTGGTTCAAAAACACACACCGATAAGCCAAAACTTTTTGAACACTGATGGGTTAACTGAATGACAATGATTATCTCGGTACAATGGCATCTGAAAGTCGGTGGGATATATTAGGCAGCAAATAAAAACATGTTGCCCCTAACACCTAATGTTACTATCTGAACTTAAAAGGCTTTGCTCCGATGAGGCGTTCATACATGAGACCCGCTTTCGAGAGGACAGACTTCCCTATCGGAGAAAAATAGCCATTTTCTCGGTCTATCATGCTACCAACAAAGTGGCAAAATCCAAGGGAGTATCGATTCTCATATCCAGACATGTGCCTTGTAAACAGGAGAGCTTGGTGGACAACAAATGGCCGGTTTCTTTTCTTGAAAGGTAAGATTGGTGACACTTTAGTAACCTTTGCCACAGTCTATGCTCCGAATGTTCAACAGGACCTCTTTCTTAGTGGAGTGCTTGCCCGACTGCTAGAGTTGCTCTGAAGGACATCTCATTCTAGGAGGGGATTTCAATGTGCCTCTCATACCCAACGTAGACACCTCCACAAGTACCTCCTCCATCCCCCCCCGCCCCCCCACTATTCGTAAATACATATCACAAGCTTTATATAGAGCACAGCTCCACGATGTCTAACGGCTTCTTCACTTAAGGGAACGGGACTATACATACTATTCTCTGCCCCACAAACTATACTTGCGAATAAACTATTTTCTGATCTCTCATAGACAGTTGCAATGGAGAACGCTAGCAACCTTTGGAAACATCATATGGTCAGACCATGCTCCAGTCTTGATCCGATGCTCACTTTCTGGGACTCTGGATTCACAGTGCCCCTCTTGAAAACTGAACGAAAGCCTGCTGCAGGACCCCATGGTATTGGCTGTAATCCAAGAGATCAATTCGTACTTTACCATAAATGATACTCCACATTGTGACCCAGGAATAATATGGGAAGCCCATAAGGCAGTGATAAGAGAGGTTCTCAAACATGGAGCTAGAATTAAAAAAGAAAGTCAAAAGGGCAGATAGATGCATTTCACAAAGGTCCAGATGGTAGAATATCACCATAAACACGCCCCAAGCCCGGTTCTGGAAACGGAATTCACTCTTCTTCGCAACCAGATCATAGATCTCTTACGCTTCAAACGTGTCGTTGAGTATTCTACGAATAGGGTGAGAAGTGTGGTCGTATCCTTGTTCGTTCATTACAAGCACAACGTCTAGCAACTTACATCCCTCACATCATACGCCCAGATGGCAGAAACGTTACTCTTCCATCGCATACTGCAAAGACTTTTGGGGACTTTTACTCCCCCTTGTATAATTTGGAACCTTCTACCTGCCCAAAGGACTCTGTACAAGTGTACTTGCAGGCTTCCGGTATACTGAAGCTGCCTTCGCCAATTAGAAAGGAGCTCGAAGACCCTATCTCCCTGACTGAGGTGCAAAATGCATTAACCTCCCTAGCGGTATGATTATGTCAGTATTTCTGTGCTCAAAGCGGTACTTTTTTTGCATGGAAATGTGTCTTTTTATTGTAGGCCTGTAATTCTTAGGAATAACTCACTGAAATCTGTCCGAACAAGAGCCTAGTAAACATCCCGGGTATGATAAAATTTGAAACACAAAATCATAAATTTAATAATCATAAAAAATAATACATTTAATTCAATAATGTAATCAAACCAAAAACACTGAAATGTGAAATAGAGCGCCAAGTTCGCACATTACTGATCTTAGTCGCAAAATCGTTTTCAGTGTCTGATGACGAATTTCCCCACGAATCATCACTCAATACTGCAAGTGGTTCTAATTTACTATCGCTGTTCTTTAGCTGGTCTAAAACTGCTTTTGACCTAAAAAGGGACGTTTTTTGGACGTCATGGACGTTTCTCAGTTTCCAGGCAGAAAGAACAGTAAAAATGCAGGCAGGGCACAGGACAAAGCAGTAGGGACAAAATGTATGTGAAATGGCTTGATACAGTAATGTTTTACTATGTGATTTTAGTTTATTTAGTGAATGTCACTTTTTAAAATTTTTAAATTTCCCACTGGTTACGTCCCGACGTCACAGGGAACGGATCCCGGAAGACACATGCCGGCATCGGCTGGAGGAGATGGCTTGGGACGCTGCAGGGGGAACATCGCGGGAGCAAAGGACAAGGTAAGTGCAGAAGGGATCCCAGAGCAACGCTGCATGGTAAGCCGGAGTGTAGCTCGGGGTTACCGCTTGTGGTGCTGAAACTTTACCTCGAGCTACACTCGGGAATACCACCAGGGAGGTTAAACTGTGCCAACTCTGGGAAAGCTCCATGTCCTGATGGTCTAATGGTACAATATTACAAGATTTTACTCCCACACATTGAACAGCACCTGGTCAAACTGTTTAATGAATTGGGAAATTCTGCTTCCCTTCCTTGGGATTCGTTGGTAGCTCATATCACTGTGATTCCCAAGGAGGGGAAGGACCCCTTCATGTGTTATAGACCAATATCTCTCCTAAATGTAGATCTTAAACTTTTCACCAAGGTAATTGCTATGCATCTTCAGCTACATTTACCTTCCATCATCCATCAGGATGGCTTTATTCTGTCCCGAGAGGCACGGGACAACACCATTAAAGTTCTAAATTTAATTCATATCGCCAGTCTGACGCTGCTTGCGTTTTCTTAGGAACGGATGCCAAAAAGGCCTTTGACTGAGTAAATTGGGGTTTATGTTTGAGGTCCTCGCCACATAGGATTGGGAGCTCATATGTGTCACTGGGTTTCTAGTGTATATACCACCCCTACTGCCTCGGTAAAGGTGAAAGGAGTCCTCTCTGATCCATATCCCATCTCTGACGGGACCTGACAGGTATGCCCACTGTCCCTCCTTTTTGCCCTCATGTTAGAACCCTTCCTTTGTACGGTTAGACAGAGCCCGGATAGACAGGGCTTAGACGTTGGTGGGACATGGAGTAAGATCTCGGCCTATGCTGATGATATG